TGATTTATATATATATATATATATATATATATATATATATATATATATATATATATATATATATATATATATATATATATATATATATATTGAGGTGGTTGTGAAGGTTTGTGATCTGTGTTTTGGCTCCTTTCTGAAAGCGCCCCAGTCTCTTTTATGTTCAGTTCTCGAATGAGCTGTGGTAATGCATAAGCTCAAGTTACGGAAATGGCATTTAACTGTTCCTCATGCCTCGTCTGACTTTAATGGCACCGAAAGCAGTGACGTGACCCTGGCTGTTCACACAAGTCAGTTTCACATGCGTTGTCAGATTTCGTGATAATTTAGAGATGTTTCAATAAACTTTCAGAGAGGGTAATTCCACTGTCTCTCATGGACGCAGTTGCCGTAAGAGACAGCTAAAGACAGGGATCTGAAGTGAGCATAGTCCCTGTGAGGCTTCTTCCAGCGGTTCAGTTAAGAGCACTATACGATTTAGGAAATTATTCTCATTAAAGAGGGTCCACTGCTGTTCGTGTCCATGAATGAAAAATATCTAGGCTCCGTGATCTTTTTCACCACTAGACCTGATTTCTTTAAGGGTGGGGACGACTAATGTTGTATCCTGGGAAGCTTATCAGAGTTCCGAAAGCTGTTATTTCCATTCCTCTGCCGACAAACATTCGTTAAGGCACGATCATAATGCCCACACGTTAAAACACGACAGGAGTTTTTTTCGCATGTGGAATGCAGCCAACCTGAGGGCCATGTTGCATCGCGAAGATCTCACCACTTCTTATTTCTTTATCTTTGGTTACTTTTGCATCGGTCAGATCGCCAGCGTGTGCTACTTGTTGATGACGTCAAAATCTATTCTCTTCTTTATTACTGTTATTCCCAGTGTATAGTGAATGTATTGTTATAGCAAGTACGAGTATTGCAACAACAACAACAACAATAATAATAATAATAATAATAATAATAATAATAATAATAATAATAATAATAATAATAATAATAATAATAATAATAATAATAATAATGATATAATAATAATAATAATATTAATGATAATAATAATAATAATAATAATAATAATAATAATAATAATAATAATAACTAATAATAATAATAATAATAATAATGATAATAATAATAATAATAATAATGATAATAATAATAATAACAACAATAATAATAGCAATAATAATAACAATAATAATTAATGACAATAATAATAATAATAATAATAATAATAATAATAATAATAATAATAATAATAATAATAATAATAATGATAAGAACAAGAGGAAGAATAAAATAGCATTTAAACTAATAATGAGAACAGCAATAATAAAATAATTTTCATTATCACTGCAAGGATATTGCTAGTAACACAAATAATAGTAATAATAGTAAAAAAATGATAGTACGGATAATAATAATAATAATGATAATGATAATGATAATGATAATAATAACAGTAATAGTAATGATACTACTACTAATGATAATGAAAATAGTAATGATAATAATAAAATAATAACAACAACAATGATAATAATAACAATGACGATGATATAAAAAAAAAATCCCATAATGAAAACCAAACTCGAAAAATATCTAGAAAGACTGAACTGATCTTATACAGAGTACACTAAACGGACACAATGAACCCTCCACGTACAGGACATAAAACAAATTTATGGGTTTAAAAGGCAGCTATAACTCTTCTAGTACTAAACTCTTTCTCTCTTTTTCTTTTTTTTTCTCTGTCTCACTTCTCTCTCTGGTTTTCCGTGTCTTTAGCTACCAAGTTGTCTGTTTGTTTTTATGTATAAGTGTTTGTTTCTGGATCTATTGTTTATATGTTTATCTCTATCTCTATTTTTATTTGTATCTCTTATTTTTGTTTATTTCTATCTCTCTCTTTCTCTTTCTCTTTCTCTTTCTCTTTCTCTCTCTCTCTCTCTCTCTTTCTCTCTCTCTCTC